CTGCTGCTCCCACCTTTGTCCCTCTCCCATTCCAAACCAGGAATGTGGGACCCCAAATCAAACACCCTGCTGCTCCCACCTTTGTCCCTCTACCATTCCAAACTGACACTGAACTGAATAGCACCAGATCTCAGGTGGCGGCTCACCGGGGTGAAAGCCATACCACTGTTTCTGCTTCAGCTTTTGCAGGTCACTTACAACTGGACAATATTTTTAAATCCGAGAAGAAACGAACGTTCGGTGCTGAGTAGGACCTTTGAAGTTTTGAGCAGGTAGGTTTTCAGGTGAATGGGGCCTTGGGGTATAGTCTCTGGGACATTCTTGCCTAAAGAAATCTGGCCTGTAGGACACTGAGTTTTGGCACAGATAGTGCCAGGTCAGTTACAAGGCTTGGACAAAGCGCTCAAGCTGTGCAGACGGAGCTCAGAGAGTGGACCGGGTGCTCATGCTGTGCAGACGGAGCTCAGAGAGTGGACCAGGTGCTCAAGCTGTGCAGACGGAGCTCAGAGAGTGGACCGGGTGCTCATGCTGTGCAGACGGAGCTCGGAGGCCGTGGAAGGTGTCAGGGCTGTCCTGTCAGGACAGAGGGCTGCTTTCAGGATCTACCTTAAAGCAAATAGTATTTTTTAGTCTGTGTTCTAACTTCATGAATATCATGAAGCTGTATCATGGGGCATTCTAGGAAGTTTAAAGATTCTTTTCCTTTAACGCCTCCTCACGTTCCATCTGTGCTCCTGGTGACTGTGCTAGTCAGCTCTGGTCCCAGCACAGAGCATCGCCCACTGGCGGCTGAAACATCACACATGGATCTTCTTACAGTTCGGGAGCTGGAGGGCCCAGGTTGTGAGGTTGGCAGGATCTGTTCTCTGGAGGCCTCCCCCCAGCTCACCAGTGGTCTTCCCTCCGTGTGGCTGTGTCCTGATCTATCACAGGGACACTAGCCCTGTGGGTTTAGGAGTCACCCGGTGACCTCATTTAACTTTTATTACCTCTGTGAAGACCTTCTGCTAAGTATAGTCATATTCTGAGGAATCGGGGCTTAGGACTTGAACATGTGATTTTTTTTTTTTTTTTTTTGTGGTGATGGGAACACAATTCAGCCCATAAAAATTGCTGACTGAACTTTAAAAAGTGCTTATGTTTCAGCCACAAAGTCTTGGTTGTTCACAGGCTTCTTATTTGTGGTGCTGTCCCTGCTACCAGGGACAGAAGTTTCAGGAGTCAGCTTTACTATTACCAGGCAAAGTAGTGTGTAGGTGAGGGGGAGAGAGGCGGTTAAACGGCGCCGCCCCTGGGGCGGACATGCCTGAGAGCATGGACTGGCCTGGCTACGGGGAGGCTGTGTCTTTGGTGTCTTGCTTCTGTGAGTGGTCAGGAGTCAGGCTTTGGGTATCACCCTGGCTGTCTCACTGTGAGGAGCCTCAGTTGCTGATCTGGGATTTATTTCCCTTGTTCACCATGGCCTTCTGCTTCCTCCTGCAGAGAGCCTGTGTCCATCAGCATTTGGGCCTCCCTCCAGCAGACCAAGGCCGTTCCTCTTCTGATGGCTCATCAGTACCTCCCTGCAAGTGTAGAAGCTCAAGTGACCATCGCTGCAGCCATCCTAGCAGGCGTCTATGTACTGATTATATTTGAGGTGACCTTCATGCCTCCTCCCCTTGACCTGTCTGTGCCCAGAGTTGGGATATTTCAGATACTCTGGATGGGCCCATTCTGTACTGGGCCATCCGGAGTGTCTAACATAAGTGGACTACTGTTGTCACTCCTAGAAACTCACAGGTCCCTCACCCTAGGTAGAAATGGTACTGGAATATTTGTTGAATCTGGGCCACTGATGTGAGGATGATGAGTTTTAGAGGGGCAGTGTGAGTGCACCCAAGGAAACGGAATATGTACACGATTTTTCTACCCTTTCTACTGTTCCTTTTAGGTATGACCTTGAAGGTAACTTTGAGGGGACAAGTTTTTTTGTTTTTTCATTTTTTTTTTTATTGAATGGTAACTATGTACATTAATGCACTTCTGGGGTACAGTGTGGGGTTTTCACATGCAATCCAAAATACTTCCATCAAACTGGTCAACACAGCCTTCATGTCATTTTCTCAGTTATTGTTTTAAAATGTTGACATTCTACTCTTAGAAAGATTCACTTGTACCCCTGTAAGATAAACCTCAGAAGTGATCCCTCCAATCACCCTCCCTCCACCCATTCCCCCCTCCCTTCTCCCTCCCTCCTCCCCATATTCTTAGGCTATTTGGTTATAGCTTTCATATAAAAGGTATAAATTAGTTTCATAATAGGGGTGTGTACATTGGATACTTTTTCCTCCATTCTTGTGATACTTTGCTCAGAAGAACATTCTTCAGCTCCATCCATGTGAACATAAAGGATGTAAAGTCTCCATCCTTCTTAATGGCTGCATAGTATTCCATGGTGTACATATACCACAGTTTGTTGATCCATTCGTGGATCGATGGGCACTTGGGCTTCTTCCATGACCTGGCAATTATGAATTGGGCTGCAATAGGGGACAAGTTTTAAGCCCCTCTGAGACTCTGGGTCTTCATCTGTATGAAGAATGCATTAATGTGCTCCTGTCTGCTCTGCACAGCAGCCTCTGTGCAGGGGCTGTGGGAGCCCTGGGCAGTGTGTGGAGAAGGAGTATTGTTTATTACATTTATCACCTTGGCTAATGGGCATTTCTGTGAATGATTTTAAGTCTCGTGATTTGGTGTTTCTGAGAAGTTATAAGCATGGTTGTAGCTTTAGTAGCATGAAGCAATGTGTAAACACCTTCTGGGCTGGGCAGGTCCAGTGCTGAAGTAAAACCAAGCTTCAAGGCAACACATAGGTAGGAATGTTGGCTGAGTAAGTGGAGCCCTGAGGGCAAGTGCTTGCTGTGGCTCTGCAGAGGGGCCTGTTAGTGATCTTAGGGTCAGTATGAGAAATACCTTAGACCTGCCTTCCCAGAAGCAAGAGGAATGGCTGGGAAAGTCTCAGAGTTATGCCTGATGAGGGATGTTGGCTCCAGTAGGTCAAGCCTCCCGATCGTGTAACCAAGGCCACTCACAGGTTTACTTGTTATATCTCTTGTCTCTTATTCTAGAATAGCATTGCTCCCTCCATACCTAATCTATTTAATCAATATCATTATTGTTTTTGGTTCCCACAACTACTCTCTGATTTGCTACCAGAACTTTCAGACTCAGAGGCAGCTGAACCCTGGGCTGTGGGTACATCCCTCTCTTCAGCAGCAAAAGACAGTGACTTATGGACAGGCTTTCCACCCAGGGCAGCCTGCTTGGGGTCTGTGTTGGGGCTGCTCAGAGAGTGTCATCAGTGTCATTAGCCCCCCACAGTCCAGAAGCCCAGAGGGAAAGCAGGTGTTCATCATAAATCTCATTTTTATACAGTCTAGGTATGTGGTATAGCTGCCTTATTAGTTGGTAGCATAAGGAATATTCCAACTGCTGAGTGCCCAGAAACTAGCTGAAGGCCAGCCTCAGAGCAGGCCCTTCTAAAAATGATGTCCTCTGGTCTTGTTAAGTCTTTTCTGCACCACCATCCAATTGAAAAACCCTTTTCTGTTCCATAGAATATTCTATGGTCCAGGTTGGGTTGATGGGTTCCTCAGGGCATTAGTTTCTTACCCCATTTCCTCTACTTCCTACTACTACAGTTTACAAGCTTTTGGGTTCAATTTTGGGGCCCTCATGCTCTACAGGTGTGCAGGGGTCTGAATTACAGCAGGAGGAGCGTGTGTCTGGATGTCCCACTTTCAGGCATGCTGAGACCTCAGTGAGTGTAGATGGTGACTGCTCTGCTTCTCTGTCACTTGTTCTCTTGAGGGCTTTAGTGTTCACTGGGGACCATTCCCTGATTCAGTTATTTCATCAGCATTTACAATGTACTTTCTAATTCTGTCATTCTGTCTGCGTTCATAAATGAGTCGTGCTGTAGTGAAGAACTTTCTTCCACCCAGTTTCATTAATGTGAAACAGTTCATGCCAGAAACAGGATACATTATTTTTCTTTAATTACCAGTTTTCATAGTAATGAGTTGTTGCCTTAGCAATTTGCAGTGGTAACCCCTGAGTTGATTTAGTTTCTCTTTTCTTGTTTTTGGAGTATCATTTTGAGCTTATGGATTTAATAAAATCAATGTGCTTTAATTAGTTATATCATTATTAATTAAATATAGCCCAATACCAATTTATTTTTTACAAGGCTTCTCTGTTATTCTGAAGTTTGTTCACTTTTTGTATAATTATATAACCTTTGAAAATTACATAATTTGTAAAGATTTATCAATCTTTCATTAATTAATGATCATTAATAACCATTCAGATATAACTTTTCCCTCTCTTGCAGCAACCACATTGAGCTTTTTTTTTTTTTTTTTGAGACAGAGTCTTACTACATCACCCTCAGTAGACTGCTGTGGCATCACAGCTCACAGCAACCTTAAACTCTTGGGCTTAAGCGATTCTCTTGTCTCAGCCTCTCAAGGAGCTGGGACTACAGGCGCCCACCACAATGCCCAGCTGTTTTTTGTTGTAGTTGTCATTGTTGTTTGGTAGGCCCGGGCCAGGTTCGAGCTGCCAGCCCTGGTGTACGTGGCCGGCGCCCTAACTGCTGAGGTACAGGCACTGAGCCCACATTGAGATTTTTAAGTCTTGTAAAGAGGCCAGTTCAACATGGCTTTTGCTCTTGCAGAAACAAGAAGCATAGAGGCAAGAATGAAAATTTATAACTGACCCCTTGAAAAGAAAGGCCCACTTTACAAAAGGGCCTCTCCTAGGAGGCAAAATGAGAATCAAGGGTTAGAGCCTAAAATTTCATGATCGGTTGACAATATAGGGGAGAGAGTTGGTTATTGTTGATCATATAGAAGTTTTATGTTGTCTGCCTGCAGCTCTAGATTATACAGATTTAGAATACTTCTGACAAAATCTAAACATACCGGTTTCATAAGATTAACAGTGGTAACATTTTAAGTTGAAAGCTGGCTTAGTGCCTGTAGCTCAGTGGCTAGGGCGCCAGCCACATACACTGAGGCTGGCGGGTTCCAACCCGGCCCAGGCCTGGCAAACAACAATGACAACTACAACAAAAATAGCTGGGCATTGTGGTGGGTGCCTGTAGTCCCAGCTACTTGGGAGGCTGAGGCAAGAGAATTGCTTAAGCCCAAGAGTTTGAGGTTGCTGTGAGCTGTGATATCATAATACTCTACTGAGGGCAACATAGTAAGACTCTGTCTCAAAAAAAAAAAAAAAAAAGAAAGAAATTGAAAGCTTAATACATCTAGAGATCTAGAGAGGTGTATTGAAATATGATAAAGATATTTCCCGTAGCTTTATTGGTCTCAAAGGATTATAGAAGTTTTCTTTTTTTTTCATACTTAATCTGAATTTTTAAGTGGAAATGATTTTTTATGATCTGAATAAAATAACAGTGCTATTTTGAGTCAAAAAACAAATGCCATCGTATCTTTGGAATAAGGCTTGTGGTTAATGGATTTTCATTGTTTAAAATATATACAATTTTATTAAAAAAAAATTACAGACACTAGCTCCACACAGAGGGTGTGCTGCAGTCTCAGGGCGGCATTGGTTGACCTGGGGCATGGTGGGCAGATCCTGCTGTATAAAGTGTGGCAGCCAGAGACCTCCCAGAGCTTTTTCTCCATACATTTTCTGGGCTGAGAAGGTTCCAATGTCGATTTACTTGTGAAACCAAATTTCCTGCTCTTCTTGCTCTATGCATCTGGTGGTTCAAGGCCCTCTGTCATAGCCATCCACATGTGCCTGCCTGTGACAGGGCTCTGGTCATTCTGCTGGTGTGTAGTGATGACTCACTGTGGTTTCAATTTACATTTCTCTAATGATGATAAATGTTGGACATCTTTTCATGTATTTGAAATCTGTTTATCTTCTTCAGTGAGATGTCTGTATATCCCTTTTTCTTATTTTCTAATTTAATTGTTTTTTTAATGTTGAGTTTTGAATGTTCTTTATATGTTTTAGATAGAAAGGCTATGTTGGATATGTGGTTTGCAAATATTTTCTGTCAGTCCAATTTATAATTTTTTCCTTGTATAGATAATGCTTTTGGTGTCAAGTCTAAGAATTTATAGTTTATTCCTAGGTCCCAAAGATTTTTTTCCCCCTGAAATTTTTTAGTTTCATTTTACATTTGAGCCCAGGATCCATTTTGAGTTAGATTTTATATTTATGTGAGTTTTTGGTGGCAGTTCATTTTTAAACCTATGGATGTCCAATTGCTCCAGTACCACTTTTTGAAAAAATTCTTGATTGCAAATCAAAACAACTCTAAGATATCACCTAACCCCAGAAGATTAGCCCACATCACAAAGTCCCCAAATACCAAATGCTGGCATGGATGTGGAGAGAAGGGAACACTTCTACACTTTTGGTGGGATTGCAAACTAATACAGCCCTTTTGGAAAGAAGTATGGAGAATTCTCAAAGATATAAATGTAGACCTTCCATTTGACCCTGCAATCCCATTAGTAGGCATCTACCCAGAAGAACATGAAACATTTTACCACAAGGACATTTGCATTTGAATGTTTATTATAGCTCAATTCATAATAGCCAAGTCATGGAAGCAAC